GAGTTCTGGATGCAGTGGCCATATAGACGTATCTCGTAGATGTAGGTTGAGATGTGAGGGGATTCCAAGAGCAGCGCGGCAAGGCGGTACAGGCACCGTGGACTGGAAAGTACAACGACGTCGAAGAGAGATATTTGCGCGCGGGGCCTCCAGGCACGGCAGACCAAGGAACACGCAGAGAGCGCTGCGCTTGACAATAGCCATCCCTGATGGTCGAATAGTTGTCGAGGCCGTACGTTGTCGATGATACTCTCGCAAACCTCCACAGGAAGATGTTTAGTCCAGTATAGCATGGCGGTGACAGTCGAGTGTCGGACGTGGGAGTGAGAGATGGTCGCCCGCAGATAGGCGTTTCGTTTATATTCCACCGATAAGCTCCCGCAACCACAGAACGCGCTGACAGTAGAGCCAGACCGGTAGTCTCGGATCTTCCTTGTCGAAGGCCATACTTCACAAGACGATGTAGCGCGGATAACACGCCTCGTGTCGGGAGTGCAGTCACTGGGCTCTTGCTGGGCGGAGCCCCACAAACTATGCCCGTGTTCCCGGTTTAGAACAGGTGCCGTGGCGACACCCTTTCGTGACAATGCTGAGTACTAGTAAGAGAACGTATGAATAATCTCACTTGAGTAGAGAACTTACGGGGACCTAAGACGCCATTGCATGCGGCGTGGTCATTGACGCCTCCGACTGACAGGTTCCATGACCACAGTGTTTGACGTGACCATCCTTTCTCGCCGTAGCGCGCCAAGATAGAGAGCGGCTTGGCAAGCAATTGTGTGACGAGCCCGCGGAGTGACCCGATGTCATGTAGTCGGCCCGTCCAGTTCTCACTGTTCACCGGTAATAGTACTGAGCATGAAGGCTATTTGAGAGCCACGGTATCGGAACGGGAGCTGAGCCAATACAAGGAGAGTGCGCACAGTGAGATGAGAGGCTGGTCGTCGGTGGATTGCGAGAAGAAACGATATGCGGGCGCTGAGAGAACCGCAAACGTTCAGGATCTTGAGCGATGCCATTCGCTTCTGTACACCTACAACCGTCGATGCCCGTGAGTGCGTCCTGAGAGTCCCGCGGCTCGGCTGCGCGAGCCCTTGCCCTTGTTGAATTGTTGACGGGACAGTCCCTTGATGTACCGCATTCGGAGCGCCTATGGTCTTCAAGACGGGCGAACCGAAGACCAAAGGACAATACCCGGTATCATGAACTCGCGGTGGGGGGCTTCAGGATGATGGCGGAGATTTATCGGTTGTGTAAACAACGACGGAGGAGGGCAAACCAGCGAGCCGCCGGCCTTCGCACCATCTGTTTGAGGTAGACTTCCTCGGTGCATTGACTGGGTCCAGAGGCCCGGTATATGTTTGCGATTTATGGGACGTCTTCGGCCGGCCAAGACCGGCCCATACGACGAGCCACGTATCTCAGCAAGCAGGTTCTAGCATGCGTTGACGGAGCATTCAACGCGGCGGAGGTGCGAATATTCAAAGCTCAGATGCAAAGCTCCGTGATGTCTGAGACATGCGACGCAAACTGACCGTCCATACTTCCATCTTCGGCCTGAGTCCCCGCTTGACTAACTCATTACTGGACAGCCTCGCAGGTAGCTTCGTCATTTCGATTGGCAACCAGCGGTCCCAAGGATAGAATGCGTCTGCGGATAAGTCAGTGAACCGCGGACACCAAGATAAACCTCGGGAAATCGACCTGAGATGTGACAGACAACGTCGAGTCGGTTCAAACGTTGGGAGTTGGGAAATATGAACACCATCCACCACTTCCATAGATGTGTCGAACCAACCATCGTGCGACGCTTCCAGCGTTCCGTGACCTCGATCCTGATCCGCGTGATCACATCTGCGTATTTGAAGAGAATATCCTCTGTAAGCGGGGAGATGTAGTCCAGGACATCGCAGAAGCTATCCCGCGTAAAGGACGACTGCCAATCCGGCACAAGAACGAGCTGTCGTCGGGTCGCCATGAGGGACCATGAGGAGAGTGTCGATGAGTAGAAATCGAGCAGGATTTTGTCTGTGTCATTCAGGAGCGCCTTCGTGATACGGAGCGTCAAGGTGTGTAGATTCGGGAACGCATGTAACTCCAAGCCGGGAACGCGACCTGGAAACGGCAACGCGGTCAGTGAGGTTGGATGCTCTCTCATCACGAGTACTTAACAGGTTGACGACGCACCAGAGCTGGAGGCATATACTGATAGTCGACAGTGGGGTAGGTGAATGTCAAGCGATGTAAGAGAGGGTCCGAGCGCCGACAGCAGTCTTTCGGGACCGTGGGCGCTCATCCCGGATATCTAGACTTCAGCACGTCAGTACTTGTGTGATGCTCCGTGGAGACGCTATTACTGACCCTTAGATTCTCCAACCGAGGCAGGAACGGGGACGATTGGGGCGGGTCGACCATACAGGGTGGAATGAGGCCAAGGATGGCCCATTCTACGTGATCGCACATCAAGTCAGTCAGCGAATGCAGCTTATGCAACATCCGTGCGAAGTCGCCGAAGGACCTGAACTTCACGATCCCGATGCGCAAAGAGGTGAGCTTAGAGAGCGGATTGAGAAGTGTGGAGAAGCGTGGATGGATTGGGAGGTATGGCAGGGGGATCTCCTCGTGAGCAGGTATTCCAGCAGTTCCGCGGGTGACTCCTTGGGATGGCACGTTGCTTTCCGTGGTGTACAAGGCCAAAGATAGGAGATTTGGGACTCTGGTGCCGATAACGGTAGGGAAGAGCGCGAGGACGCTGTTCGAGCTCTGGATGCAACGACCATACAGGCGTATTTCGTAGATGTAAGTGGGAATGTGAGGCGAGTTCGTGAGCAGCGCGGCGAGGCGGTACAGGCATCGTGCACTGCGAAGCGTGACGACGTCGAAGAGAGAACGCTGCGCGCGGGGCCGCCAGGCACGACAGACTAGAGAACACGCACAGAGCGCCGTGCTTGACAGAGTCCATTCTTGGCGGTCGAATAGCTGTCGAGGCCGTATGTTGTCGATGACAACCTCACATACCTCCACCGGTAGCCGTTCTTCGTGAAATGTGGGAGGGTATGGCATGGCGGAGGTGATCGAGGGGCAGAGGGGCGAGGGATGCCCGCCCACATATTCATATACCCCCGTCAGCTTCGGGCCATGGCATCATAGAATGTACCTTGGAAACGGTCCATTAGTCTCGAGTATCCTTGTCAAAGGCCATGCGCTACTGAGTGATAACATCGTGAGCGCTGCGCTGATAATATGCCTCGTGTCGAAGATGTCGGCTCCCAGGACCCATGCGCCCACATGAAACCATACCGTCTTCCTGTCTTAGGGGTTATGAACATACTTCTGACTACTTCTGATCACCTAGTCGTACCCAGTGGTAATGCTGTGATTGATATTTACTGAGAACGTATCAACAGTCTCACGAGAGCAGAGAAGAACTGACGAGGTCACTTATAACGCGCTGTTGCAGGCGACGTCATCACTGCCATAGACGCCTCCGACTGGTGAAAGATTGCGCCCTCAGTTCTATGATCACGTCGAGTGTGATCAGGTTGCTTCCACCGGAGTTCTTCTATGACTGATTGTACGACCTGCTATGTCAGCGTACTGGTCTCCTCAGTGCGAATAAATCATCACACTCACGGTCCTCAAACCTAACTCTCATCCTTCCAAGCCTGTGCAGGTTCGGGAAACTCGCAGTAGCGTGGACAGTCCACCAACCTCGCCATTCAGCACTGTCCGGGATCATCACTACGACACGTATATGCCGCGTTACTCCGGTCGCTGCCCTGGAGGAGCCGTACCCAGCCGCACCCAAGATTTCTTCGGTCATACGGCCTATGTCCCCGAGGAGATCGATATACTCGGCCCTAGTGAAAGCCGAAGGCTGCCGAGGACGGAAGCGGAGAGTTCTGGGTCCTGCGAGAGATGCCAGGGAGAGCGTTGTGGCGGCAAAGTCGGTGAAGGTGGAATGCTCGCGAAAGGTGGGTAATATCCAGAGGGTGAGTATACGTAGATTGGTGAACGAAGATAAGTCTAGTCCGTCCGCGCCTTCTGTTTGTTCAGAGTATGTGAGCCTCACTTGGCTATATGTTGATTCTGAGTCTGACTTACCTATTGCACGGACGTTTGTTGGGCAGTCGAGGTGAGGCTCGTCGACATCGAGGTACAAGAGGGAGGGGCCGAGTGCTGAGAGGAGACGTTTGGTCCCTTGGGATCCTAATCCAAGGAGCTAGTAGAGCGATCAATACTATGCGTTGTCATTTCCGGACGAGTCGCAGCTTACCTTCAAGATCTGAAGACAAGGTAGGAAAGCTCTCCCCGATTCTTTGCGAGTCAGATAACGGGGAATGTGTCCGAGAACAGACCATTGCACAGTAGAGCACCGAAGATCCACAAGATTCCGGAAGGCAAAGAGGACGCCAACAAAGTCGTCGTATGAGGGGAAGCTGACGCTGTTGAGGTATAGTTGGCGTACAGAGCCGGAGTATGGAGCGAACAAGCTAGGAAAGCGGGGGTGTATCGGTAGATACGGGAACGTCCGTGTCCCTGCAGCGATTTTGATCTTGGCAGTTCCTTTGTCGTTTTGCTCTACGAGGCGGATGATTGACAGAGAGTACAGCCGTGGAAGTTTTGGCATGAGTAATGTCGGGAAGAGCGCGACCACGCTGCGTGGATCATGATGTGATCGTCCTATAAGGTGTAGAATGCGAACATAAGCTGAGAGAGAAGGCATGGCGTCCAGTAGATCGACCAATGCGTAGAGCGCAGATGCATCTGGAAGTTCGATCGCGTAGAAAAGCCGCATCTGGGAGCGAGGACGCCATGCGCGGCAGACGAGGCAGCAGTTGCGGAGGTCCTTACGGGAAGACGAGAAAGTTTTATAGCTGGTTCTGTCGTCATAGACTGCATCAATAATCGACTCGTAGACCTCAATTGGTAGCCCTGCACTGTAAGGGATCGACATCACGATGCGAGATGGGGTAAGGGAGGAAGGGACAAAAGGACAATGATGAGAGTGGGATTCGAACCCACGCCCTTTCGGACCAGATTGAACAGCCAGTACCTTAGTCTGGCGCCTTAGACCGCTCGGCCATCTCACCGTGTCAACCTGGGGCATGTGTGCGCTTATCAGTACTACGAAAGTCAGACGGTAACTATCCATCACTATTCATTGACGTCGTCTTATGTCGCCCTATTTCGCATGCTCAATCGCGCAAGCTCGGTCTTGGTGATGTAGTTACTACTGCCGTGGGCCCGCACCTCCGCCAGCACAACACTCGTTTTTTCGACGTGCTTTAGGCAAAGGGAGACAACAATGCATGAAAACAACATGGTGAGATGGTCGAGCGGTCTAATCAGCAGTCAACCATCCGGCAGAACGGTCCCGCCAGAAACAATGGTTTGTGAGAAGTTAACGGTGCATGTTCGTGGGACCACGCAAGAAAAGCAGGTTCGAGTTTGCGAGAATGGGAATTTACGACTACTTGTACCCCTTTCCAAGTCCACGATGATTACGACGCGGCCGACGTCACATTATCATTGCAGTTGTGCCACAGAATCATCGAAGAACCATCCGTCGCCCTTGAGAGCGTGCACCGCATCCGATACGCGCTCGATGGGTACTAGGACATAGTCCGTGTTCCTGCGTGAGTGTCATAAGGCTTATGTGAACGGTGTGGGCGTACACCGTCGGAAAATATTACCAGGTCGAGATTGCGAAGACTGGACAACCCGCCTTCTTCAAAGGCGTCACGAAGTCACAGATCACCCCGGTCAGCTCTGCAATGCCACAGCGCATGTTAGATCAGTCGCGTGCGACATCGAGTCGCTATTCGAGTCCTCCCACTTACCAAACTCCATCGGACCAGCGATCTTGATGCACCTCCACTTCGCCTCGGGGTCGTCCTCGGAGACGCACTGGCCGACGAGCGAGATCTCCTCCGCTGTGCGTGTGATCGAAAGAACCTCCTTCGAGTCCCCGATCGCTGTAAGCTTTTGTATTAGCTCTGCCGGGATCTCCTTTACTCGGCGCACGTAGAACGGAGTCGGGAGGAGGGAAAGGCGGAGGCACGGGTGTTCGCGGGTGACGGCCATGATGGAGGTCCTTGTTGTTGTTCGTGAGTATTCCCAGCTGGCTATGGTCGATGGAACAAATCAAGAGGTCGAAGACTGCAGAGAGGAGTGGAAGGGCAGCCTCGGCCCTCATTCACCCAGCTCGGATCCGGCGGCCCGCGCACCCGACTGATGGGTACCTCTAGGCTCTTTACTAACCCCATGCACACACGAACCGCCACTATGAGGGCGTGCACACCCTGCGGCTTCCGAACGCGATTTTTAATTTAGCAGAATGTTGGTCACGTGTAGAACCGTGGAGAAGGAATTGGGTACTGGCCATAGCGATAGGCGAATGTACCGAAAGTTCATATCAAAGTGTACCTGTAGGGTACACTCACTTGATACTGAGGAAGCAAACATGAGCCCTTACGAAGTGCTGGCTGAACATGCAAAGGGGACGTGACGCACCTGCGCGATCGCGACATCACTCCTCATCATCTCCGAAGAGATATCCGCGCTCCTGACTCTCGTGATACATCCTCAGCACATCACCACGCCCATATTGTTCCACAGGGCCAGCCCACTCATGCCCGCGCAGCTCCTCCAGTTCCTCTCGCAGCGCGTACGCGACCTCCACCTCCGAGCTGTCCGACCCGAAGGAGCTCTCCGCATCGTCCCCCGGCTCGGGTTCATACGCGCCCGAGTTATCCCTACGCTCCGGCACGCCCGCGGTGCACCACGACAGGTCCTCGTCCATGTAGTCGTGCAGCACGCCCCACGACGTATGCACAACGCGCACGCCGGGGAACGCGAGCTGCCGCTGCTCGTCCGCGCGCACGCCGAGCGGGTGGCAGATGAGCGGCCAGTCGAGGCTCTGCATCGACTCCCAGCCCTTGCGCGGCATCGTGCTCAGGATGCGCACGCGCTGGAGGCACGGGAGCTCGCTCGCGTCCGAGAGCTTGTACCAGCCCTGCTTGACGATGTGCGCGGGCGGGTGGTGCCCCCAGACGTCGAGGAAACGCAGCGTCGGCGAGTGCACGACGAGCGGGTCGCGGATCCACGTCGGGATGACGAGGTGCTCGACGCGTGGCGCGAGCGCGGGCAGGCGGGCGAGAGCGGCGAGCTGCGGGAGCTCCCACGCGTGCGACTGGCCGTGGCGCATGTGGACGTACGTTAGCTGCGAGCCGTGGGCGTGCAGGAGGGCCTCGGGGAACGCCTCGCAGTTCGTCGCGGTCAGGCGGGTGAGAGCTGGGAGCACCCAGCGCGTGCAGATATAGTGCTGGAAGGGGTCTTGGTCGGCATAGATCTGTAACTCCTCGAGGGCGGGCAGATGCAATGGTGGGTGGTCGAGGAGCTCGGAGGAGTAATCTTCAGGGTCGACGGGGCCGAGCTTGAGGATCGTCAGGTTTGTAGCGGCTGAGAGGAACCACTGCATGCGGATGAGCAGCCGCCCATCGAGGGTGGCGGCAATGTCCAGTATGCGGAGGCTGGACGATAGTCGCTCGCGGAGAGACCCTCCGACGGAGTCGTCATTCGGATCAGGCTGCATGAGCCACGACGGATTGAATCCGTCCCGGCTCTCGTCGTTGTACGCGTGGTCTGCTAGCGGGAAATGCGGGTGCGGATGGAACGAGAACGTCCGAAGGGCCGTGCAGCGATGTAGGATGAGCCGGAGGTCTTCGCGAACGACCTGTGCGCAGGGTGCCCAGACGACGCAGCCGTCCATGCGTAGACGTCGCACAAGCGTGCCTACGTCTCGACCGGAGGCGGAGGGGAAGGGCCCGAGTGTGCGGGCGAGAGCGGGGATCTGACCCATTCGGCGGATGACGATGTCTTCGTAGAGAACTTCGGTGGCGGGTCCGGAGAAGGCCTTGCACGTGAGTGCGAGGGCCTTGCGTGTGCGTAGAGCAGCGAGCCAGGGGTTGCGTGGGCCCGGTACTACAGAGGGGTCGTGCTGGTAGCGCGGCGGTACTGTAAACCGGAAGATGTGCAGCAGGAGCTCGTGCGGCAGATGCGAGATACTATCGAGTCTGAGTTTCTGTGCGGATATCTGCACATATGTATATACATGAACATCAGCCCATGTTCAGATGTAGTGTGTGAACAGGCCTACACTGTCGTCGGCGAAAGGTTCATGACTCGGCATTCTTCGTAGGCGAGCGCGGGCCATTTCTTGTGCGATGACGAAGTCCACGTCTGCGTGATAGGAGCTGTTCAACATCCGGCCCACCGTTGGCGTCAATATTTGTCCTTAGGGATAGTGTTGTGAGTGTGGTCAGGACAAGTCTCAAGTGCGAGATACGCACCGCGAGCTGGCAATGGATACTTACTTGGAAGTACAAGGAAGAGATGCGAATGGTGGCAGTGCCTGATTACTACCGCCGAGTTACAGAAGCGAGATAAGATTAGATCGAGTGATACCCAGATCTCCTTTTCGCGCACTGTTATTCTGGAAGTCCCAAGTTGCGTTCACAATAACGCACGCGAAGCACGAGTTGGAACGAGATCAAATGCGGTGATGCAAGTCTAGTCTACATGTATCAAATTCATGTCTCTACACCTCCGATGCGACTCGGAGGGCATCCCGGAGCTCACTGCTTGCCAAACACCTTGAAACGCTCGCCCTCGACCGCCTGGTACGTCCGCTCTCCAGGCGCAGCGGACGGCTTGCCGAACGGCATCTGCGCGACGAGCGTCCACGACGTGGGCAGGTCCCAGGTGGAGAGGACCTTGGGGGAGATGAGCGGGTTGTAGTGCTGGAGGGACGCGCCGAGGCCCTCCTTCTCGAGCGCGGTCCAGATGATGAACTGGAGGATGCCCTGTGTGGTGCACGCGCGAGTGCGTCAGTGGCGAGTCGCGACGCGGCGTGCGAGCTGCGGATGGGACGTACGCTGGCGTGCTGGGCCCAGGTCGGGAAGCGGTCCTGGTAGAGCGGGAACTTGGCCTGGAGGCCCTTGACGACCTCCTCGTCCTCGAAGAAGAGGATGGTGCCGTGGCCGTTGGCGAAGCCGCCGATGCGGCCCTCGGTCGCGGGGAGCTGCTCGGCGGGGACGATCTCCTTGAGGATGTTCAGGGTGATCTCCCAGAGCTTCTTGTGCTCCTCCCCGAGGAGGAGGACGGCCTGTGTGGGTTGTGTTAGAAAGGGTGTTGCAGGCGGGTATGACTACGATGCGCATACCCGGCTGCTCTGGCTGTTGAAGGATGAGGGCGCGTGCTTGACGGCGGTCGCGATGATCTCCTCGACCTTTTCATCGGGGATGGTGGACTCCGGGGTGATGGCGTAGTAGGTGCGGCGGTTCTTGACGGCCTCGAAGAAGGTAGCGGAGCCAGACATGACTGTGCGACGTTGGGTGGGTGTGGGAGCGGTGGGGTTAGAGTAGTGGGAGAGTATCGTAGAGAGATGAGGAAGACGATGGTGGTGGTGGACGAGGGGCAGGCGAGCGGCCTTATATAGGGATCCGATCGATAGCAGACGCATCATGTTGCGCAAGAGATGTTATCTGCGCGTGCTAGCACCTTCTTTCGCTTTCGCCGTAAGTACTCTGCAGTCTGATGTTCCTGAACGTAAAGGAGATATCCCCGACTGTGCGATTTGCCTACCCGGCGTCGCAGCTGAGTAATCCTCTTGTCTCCGGGAGACGTTCGTGCGAGTCTCTGAAGGTGATCTGTCGCAAGATCAGATCAGGCTGCCAAACACCAGCTGTTTCGCTCCTTTTCAGGTAGCTAGCCCGCATTTATGACAATTCTCACTCATGTCATCCTATGGCGGCGTGGGAGTAGACTCCCAGGAATTGCTGTCTGGAGGCGCCCAGAGGACCACAATCTGATATACTTGACTACTGCCCTCTGACCATGTCTCATCATGCTTTCAGAGCAACTCCTAAGCGGCATTAGCAGAGACCATTTGAGATAAATCGGTTGAATGTATTGCTTACTGAGCATAAACGGAACATTCGTCAAGACTCAACGCTATAGCCATGTGTCACGGGTGTCGTTGCGTCTGAGCGGCGAAACCCTCAATCTGCGAGCTAAGATATCAGTCAGC